TGCGTGTTGTTGCTGGGACCGGTCAGCTCTGCTGCCCAGTTGAAGCTAAACTGATGCTTCTGCATTGCATACTTCTAGGTCTGGTGCACACATGAAAATCTTCACCCAGATGGCTTTGAAGACTTTGGGGGCTTGGAGTTCCCCCAGATTAACTACTCTCACTACAGTGGTAGGAGATACCGTTACTTCTACGGGTGTGGTTTTCGGCATTTCATCGGAGATTGCCTAATGAAGGTTGATGTGGAGACCAAGAATTTCCAGGTGAGGTGAAATGAGTTTCTCTTTTGTCAGCACTGGGAGTCATTCTGCTCAGCTGGCTTCTAAGTTCTGTCAGCTATGAGGCACTATGTGCTTTAGGTGTTGTTTGCTTTTTAATTTTCCACAAGGGTCTGAGATGAGGTTCCTAATGTTATGTCTCACCTAGAACTCCTACCAAACAGGAGAGGACATCAGTCCAGGTTCCTAAATAGATGACGAAACAGAAAGGGTTGCATAAAGACTCTACATCTCTCCCAGGTCAAAGAAGAGTCACCTCTTACCAGGCAGAACAGAAAATACCCACATAGCATAGGCTGTCAGCAGCAGACATTACCAGGGCAGTTATAGCTCAGGCAAGAAAGAAGGTTTAGCATTGTGCAGGCAGGGATTTAGGCTGTGTCTCCCATAAACAGAGAAATAATTTCCAAAGCTTTTAGCTTTAATGAATTTGGAACTTTCCCAGGGGCTTGAAGAAGTTAGGAATTCTTAGGATGGCTTGGCTTGAATCATTCTGTTCTGGGTACTCATTTTACAGTAAGAGTGCTCTCCTTCAGCTTGGGTGCCATGGCTCTGTCTGCAGTAAGGACAGAAGCTGTGCCTTTGGGTTGTGGTGGTGATAGATCTCTCTTGGCAAGGCATATCAGCTCTGCCTGGGCATGTCGTGATGTGCAGCTCATTGTGCAAGCTGGATGCTGGTGTTTTCTGAGCCTACAGCTGGTACCTGTGCCAGTACAAGCTGCTGGATGGAATGAGCATCACGAATCCTTTCACTGCCTGTTTGCACAGTGCTTGGCACAATGGACGTTCTGTCACAGCACTAGCATTCTGTTAGTGCAAATCAAAAGGATTACTCAGAAGGCTGAACTGTGGGTTCCTCGGGGCAGGAGGTGCAATTGGGTCGCTCTGCATAAAGCTTTCTAACTTGCAGCTCTGCGAACGGTAGCAGACAAACATCATGACATGAAACACGTCCATATGTTGTTGTACTCAATAGATTTGGCAGGAAGACGGATCCTACCCCTCAGAGCCTGTTTTTGTGCCAGTGCCTACTGCCACGGAAGAAGACAGTGGAGTCATCTTGTCTGTTGTGGTCTCCCCTGATGAGGTAACTTATTCCTATTAGTTTACACAACCCACACAGTTCTAAACCACAAAAGTTTAAAGGTCTCTGGCAGATAGATCTCTTGTTTAAGTAAAGCACATCTGTCCCCATAAAATATTTCACTAACGTTAGCAGACTAGCGGGCAATGTAACACATCATTTGAAAAGAGAAAAAGGGAAAGGAGTGTCTGCCTATCGCTCTAGTTGGTGCAGATGTTTTTTCTTCTTTGATATCTATTTCTGACCTAACTCAGATATATGAAGTCATTCACCCAACAAATACCTAATCCAGGGTATCTTCTTAGAAAAGCACTCAAATGGGCTGTGTATAAACAAATACCATTTCAAAAAGAATCAAAGTTCAGAAGCATTTCCCACATCCTTTACTCATTTTCATCATGCACTTTACTTCAGTCTTTAAACTCTAATGGCTTCAGGTGCTAGTCAGTGGATACACTGACATACATAATATTGATATTTCCACATTTGTTTCATTTTTGCTACACAAAAAATTACTTCATTACATTTACTTCATTATTTTTTCTTAGCATTTATTTGCTGTGAAGATATTTTAAATATTTTGCCCTTCATTGTTGTAATAAAAATCCAGCTTAATAGGTATTTTAGGTGAAGGAAAAAATGCATGCTAGTGGTCATTTAATTATTTTGGTAATTAGACCCATGGCAGATTTCATAATAAGGAGTTTAAACTCTATTTTAAAAGCTAGACTAGGTGGAATATTTGCCTCAGAATTATTATCTAGATGTTCAGTAGGTCAATTATATTAATGAAACAGACAAGTCTTCAGCAGCTAATGTCAATAATTATGTCAGTGTGTAAACGATGACACCAACACCCCCTCTCTCCTCAGGACAAACAAAAATCAAGTTGGAGATTTCATGGGTCCATTGCTGATAGAGGTACTGTTATCACAGTTACAGCCACAAGCACAGAATTAACATTCTCCATAAACTTACAGGAGATCTGGCATAGTAAGGAAGCACTGGACTCATGCTTCCCATGGTGTGTATCTGTAACTGCCAAGCACAGCTAGGTGAACCTCAACTGGGAACGTCAGTGTTGGTGTGACACCTGTGACCATCAGTGCTCCTGGTGCTGTTGTGTCACTGGCTCAGTCAGCACGGCGTGGTTGTGCCTGGCTGTGTGTTTGGGCTCCTGAGTGTGGGACAGATGTGGTGCTCTGGAGAGCTGAAGGGATTTCAGTGTGGCTATTAATTCTGGCTTTCTTCTCACCCTGCAGAACCGAAGTGCTTTCCTGCTTGTCTTGGATGCAGAGACCTTCAGAGAACTGGGGCGAGCAGAAGTCCCAGTGCAAATGCCTTATGGATTCCATGGGATCTTCAGCTCTCGCTAAGAGAGAGGAAAGAGAGCCACCTCCTATAACTCAGGGCAGGGTCAGGCTCAGAAAGAAACCTCTGCTTTCTTTTACCTTCCAACTTTACATTATGCCAAGGCTGAAGGAACCACTTCTCTATCACAGCCTCTAAGTTACTGCCGCGTTCCTAATTCACAGCAAAGGGTCTGAGGAAGACAGCAGCTCAATCTCTCTAACAGCCCACTGCTTTATCTTAGTTTTCTGTCTATCTTGGTAGAACACATAGCAGCAGTTCAAAAGGCTGCCATGCGTAAGGCTTGCAAGGGAGAAAATGGAAACTACCGTTACCTTGTCTGGGAAGCAATGTGCTCTAAAGGGAAGAGAGTAGTAAATGTCAGTTCCAATGGCTTTGGCTGAAAAATGTAAAGCACAAAAATGGAATAAAACCAACTACTAACATCTAGGCCCAGTGTAGGGCTGTAATTATGCCCCCACCGCACAAAGGTTGCCTTCAGAGAGCACCAGAGAATAGCTGAAAATGCTCACGGAAGCTGTACTCGTACTGCTGTCTCTGTACATTAACTGTGCCCTCAAATAAAACCCTGTTACGTTTCTTCCTTTCGTTGCGGCCCCCACTGACAGCAGCAGGGTGGGGGGACACGTCGGGGGAATCTCCGGTACGGGTCCCGGCGGAGGGAGGGCTGAGAAGCCGGTCATGGCCGCCAGAGGGCAGCCGGCCCCCGCTGCGGAGCTGCGAGCTCAGCTACTTGGGGGTAGGAAGTGGTTCCGCGGAGCTCTGCATCTCTTCAGGCAGCGCTTCTCCATAAATAAGAGTGCACTTGTTATCCGGGAGGGAATCTGGCACGCCCACCCCTGTGCACTGATGCCTTAGGAACACAGCTTGCAGCTGTCACTACTTATAAGAAAACAAACGACAAATTAGGTTGAACAACTGGCCTGTGCGAGGATGAATGAAAGGGTGAAAGCCATGGAAAAGGAAATATAATGTGCACAGTGCACAAATGTTGAGTCTGTGACCACATCCAGAAATGGGAGTTTCTGCAGACAGCCCTGGGAGTGTGCTTGCATGTAGGTTTGAAGGTCTGCACAAAGCTCCACTAAGTCATTAAGGTTGAAAAGATCATCCAGTCCAATCATCCACCTACCACCAATGCTGCCCACTGACCGTTCCCCTCATTGCCACATCACACCTCCAGAAATTGTGACTCCACCACCACCCTGTCAGCCTGTGCCAGTGCCCAATCACTGCTCTTGAGAAGATGGTTTTCCTAATATCCAGCCTGCTTCCCCTGCAGCATCTTGAGTCCATTCCCTCTCGTCCTCTGGCTGTTTCCTGCGAGAAGAGGCCGACCCCCAGCCCACCACAGCCCCCAGTCAGGGAGCTGCAGAGAGCAGTGAGGTTTCCCCTGAGCTCCTCTTCTCCACACTGAACAATCCCAGCTCCCTCAGCCGCTCCCCATCGCACCCCATTGTGCTCCAGACCCCTCACAGCTCCGTTCCCTTCTCTGCACGCTCCCAGCCTCCACGCCTGCATTGCAGCGAGGGGCCCAACGCCGAGCACAGCGCCGAGCTGCGGCCTCACAGAGCTGAGTGCAGGGGACGCTCACCTCCCGCTCCTGCTGGCTGCGCTGCTGCGGACACAGCCAGGCTGCCGTCGGCCTTCTCGGCCACCTGGGCACACTGCTGGCTCACGCCCAGCCGAGCGCCGACCGACAGCCGCGGCTCCTTTCCCTCCGCACAGCTTGCAGCCGCTCTGCCCCAAGCCTGCGGCGCCGCGTGGGGTTGTTGTGGCCGAAGCGCAGGAGCCGGCACTCGGCTGCTTGAGCTCCGTCCCGTTGGCCTCAGCCCAGCCATCGGCCCGTCCAGCTCCCTCTGTAGGGCTGCCTGCCCTCGGGCACATCCACGCTTCCCCCCACGTGGAGCTGTCTGCAAACCTGCTGGGATGCACTCAGTGCCCTCATGCACATCATCAGTAAAGGCACTGAACAGGACGGCCCCAACACCGACCCCTGGGGAACCCAGCAGTGCACCCAGTTCTTTGCCCAGCAAAGAGCGCAGATCTCCAGGCCACGGGCTGCAATTTGTCCAGGAGAACACGGCATGTGTTGCTCCCCTGATACCGCTCTTCAATGCCCATCTCAGCCCGTTCCATTCCTGACTCTAAACCCTCTGCTCTAACAGCCCAGACTGTAGCAAACTCGGTTGCATTTTGCTGACGTTCCCTAGAGCAGAAGCTGCGCTCGGCACGGCACCGCGGAGCGGCGCAGCGTCCCTTCGCGCCGGGCATCGTGGGAGGCGCTGCGGAGCCGTCCGCTCCGGGCCCCGGATGGAGCCGCCCCGCCATGGCACCGCCCGCAGCGCGCCTGGCTCGGCTGTCCCGCACCGCCAGCTTCAGCGCCTGCCACCGCCTGCACAGGTGAGGGGGGTCCGCAGGGTGCTGCCGGGCCCCGTCCCGTCGCCGTGCTTCGTGTTGCACGGGGAAGCTCCGCCGGCTTCGTTCGTTCGTACGGAGTAGCGCTGGTTACAGTTCTGGCACTTCCTACCAGGAACCCGAATGGTTTTGTGCTGTTCACGCATGAATTGCAGCTGGGGTGAGGCGGTCGGTACGGAACTGCAAACATAAGCACAAAAGCAAAGCCAAAAAAAAAAAAGTCATCGATGTCATTGTGTCTTCATGGGTTGAATGGGGTGGGACTTGGTGATCCGTGCCAGGGTGTGCTTTGTGCTGTACTCCTGCTGTGCTGCCCTTGGGGTGGGAGAAGCTGTGTGTGGATTCAGGGGGGGCGTGAGTCACTGCATGGCTCAGGTTAGAGGGGACCTTAAAGACCATTCGGTACCAACCCCTTGCAATAGGCAGGGCTGCCACCCACCAGCTCAGGCTGCCCAGCATCTCATCCAACCTGGCCTTATTCCCATCCAACCTGGCCTTATCTCACCCAGCCTCGCCTGGGGTGAGCAATGGGAGGAGCTGGGACACACAGATGGGGTGACACCATGAAAATCTGCTCTCTGAAATGCCTTGTCTGCCTCCTGCAGTAAATCACTGAGTGATGAAGAAAACCTGAAACTCTTTGGGAAGTGCAACAATCCCAATGGCCACGGGCACAACTACAAGGGTAAGGGATTGGCTTCCACATGTGCACGTGTGCATGTTGCTCCTCATGGACGTAGGGCTGTCCCAGGGTCAGAAGAATGGCTTCTGTAACTCAGGACCACCACTCCTAATGGAGTGGATAACTTTTCCTTAAAGGGTTGTGCTTGTAAGTGTTGTGCAGCCTGCACCTGGTGAGGTACTGCTGAATGGGTTGACTGCCTCCATCACCAGTGGGGTTTGTTGTGAGGCTCATGGTGTCACACGCATGACGTGATAATTCCTTTTTTTTTTAATTTCAGTTATAGTCACTGTGCGTGGAGAGGTGAGTGTTCTCGGCGTTCCTTCATTCCTTGCAGCAGTTGGCAGTGGGGCAATGGAGCCCTGTCTCCAGCAGATCCAGCTCAGTTGCTGGGTTTCCTGTGCTGTGTGCATCACTGTGGGAGGTTTTCAACAATCAGCTGTTCACCTTGCCCCTAACGACGCTGAGGTTGCTGAGGTTGGATTGGATTGTTTAGGATAGATATTAGGAAGGAGTGATCGGACAGTGGCACAGGCTGTGCAGGGAAGTGGTGGAGTCACCGTCCCTGCAGGAGTTCAGGAAGTGTGGACTGAGGGACGTGGTCAGTGGGCAGTATTGGTGGTAGGTGGAAGGACTGGATGGTTTTAGAGCTTTTCTCCAACCTTTCTGATTCTATATTCTGTGTGTTGCAGGCAGCCTTTTCCTCCTTATGTCAGGGAGCAGAGCCATAAGCTGCTGTATGCACATACAGGGGCAGAGTAGGGACTCAGTATGTGAAGGTGAAGAGGGATTTTTCTTGTGGCCCTGATTCATGCCGGCTCAGAGCAGCCTTGGTAACAAGGGCCTGTAGCTAGGTTACTAATCTGCCTTCTGTTTTCTCTCCAGATTGACCCCGTCTCAGGAATGGTTATAAACCTGACAGACCTGAAAGCGTACATGCAGGTAAAGCACCCCTCTCCCAGACACCCCTGTGTTAGACATGGGCTGTTTGTCTGGTGGAAACATGGTGAGTTAATAATGGTGGGAAATAAAGAAGAAATGAAGGAGTGATTTAGGATTGAAGTGTTTTAACGCAGTGATGTGAGGCAGTGCCATGTCTCAGCTGGGAGGTTAATGGATGGATGCAGGGACGTCTGTACATTTCTGTACAGACTGCTGCCCGGTGCATGGTGTTGGAGCCTGGACACCTCTCTTTCTGTAGCAGGCAATCATTGAGCCACTCGACCACAAAAACCTGGATAAGGACGTGCCCTACTTCGCTGAGGTGGTGAGGTGGGTGGAGGTCTGGGGGCCTGCAGGGCTGGGCAGCGATCTGCGGGGCTCAGTCCTCGGCTGGGGTAGCGCTGTGGGTGCCATCACTGATGGTTCTGAGTCTGCTGCTGTTTCGCTCCCAGCACCACAGAGAACGTTGCAGTGTTCATCTGGGAAAACCTCAAGAGGCTCCTGCCTGTGGGAATGCTCTATAAAGTCAAAGTGTACGAAACAGAACAGAACATTGTGGTCTATAAAGGAGAAGAAACGATTTCTGAGAGGTGAAATGAGCCAAAGCTCAACTGGTTGGAAACTGACACCTGCTCACGTCAGTGACAGCATCAGCCCTGCTCATCTGTGTGCTGAAGTGAAGCCTTGGTTACGTACTGCAAAAGAACCAACCAACGTAATTCTTCTGCCAGAAATCTTGCAGCAGTTTGGGTTATCACAATTCATTGATACATCTGCCTTTATCCAAGACATTCTGATTTCATAAAACCAGATTGCTGAGCTGATGTGCAATCTGCAATTGTACTATGCTAAATAAAGCAGCTCTCCAGAGAGGAGGTGGCTTGGTAGTGTGTATGTCTTAGAATCATAGAACAGCTTAGGTTGGAGGGACCTTAAAGATCATCTAAGTGCAAACCCCCGGCCGTGGGCAGGGCTGCCCCCCACCAGCTCAGGCTGCCCAGGGCCCCATCCCACCTGGCCTGGAGTGCCTGCAGGGATGGGGCACCCACAGCTCTCTGGGCAGCAGCGCCAGCGCCTCACTGCTCTCTCTGTGAAAAATGCCCCCGACATCTAATCTAAATCTCCCCTTTTTAAGTTTAAAGCCATTTTCCTTTGTCCTGTCACTGTCTACCTATGTAAAAAGTTGACCTAAGTGGGCTTATTGGCCCATATTAGGGTGCTTTGAGACTATGCTCACTGTAGACTCCCAAAAGCTTTTTGGCACAAGCAGCAAGATAAGGTGTGCTTTTGTTTAGCAATTCTGTAGGAACAGCATGAAGCTCTCCTTTTCTGGAGGAAGCAGCCAGTGAGTGCTCCCACTGCAGCAATCAGCAGCTGCGTGGTGTTTTCACCATCAGAACCCCATACTGGAAAGCTCATGTAGATACTCAGTGTGCACCAACCACTGGGGCTGCTGCTTCCACGGCCTCCCGCAGCTGGGTGCTTACAGAGGATGGGGCTGTGACTGAGCGCCAGCCAGTTCTTCTGAAGGTTCCTGAAATTGTAGGCATACTGTGAAATCAAAGAGCTGGAAGAGGAATGCATGTAAAACCAGTTGGGGAACAACGGTGCAGTTCAGCTGGCTGCGATGAGGGCCTCCCACCTGCCAGCCCAGGCAGGAGCAGCTCTGTGTGTGATTCCCCATCACATGAGCAATGTGCCAAGTGGTACTGAGAGTCATTGGGAGGTATGGCCACAAAGAACAACTAAATGTATGTAATTTAAAAGGTGATACCCAGAGTAATAATTCATGAGCTCTACAAGGAAGTTTGCGGCTGAGTAATGACAGCAAACAGCACCACTTGGAAAGGTTTAATGAAGCTTGCCTAATAGTTCACCTTTGGCTGGAATGTGCTGGTTACAGCTCTAGAAAATACTTTGACTGCTTTCTTTTAAACTGTGGCTGCTAGGAAGAGGATGGTCCTGTGCCTTCATCCATTATTGCTCAGATGTTGAGGCCAGGTGTGGCTCAGGGCCCTGGTGACCTCATCCTCTGCAACAGCAGAGCTGCAGAGCTCTGGCGCTGCCTCCTGTCCTCCTAAGGGCAGCGCTTTGGGAGCTGAAGGCTCTGCAGCAGTTGTGTCTGACCCACACAGCTGCACAGCCTGGCTCCAGGTGTGCACCCAGCGCTCACAGCGCACACACAGCAGAGCGCCACGGGCAGTGCGTGGCTGAACCCAGGGCACAGGGGGTTGGCAGTGCATGTATTAGAGAACAACTGTGAGCAAGCATGAAGCACAGGAAGAGTAAGATTTAGTCAAACATCTCTGACCAACACCGTGAGACCACACTGAGAGCTGCAGCCACTGCCACCAAGCACATTGATGTGTAGCTTCACAACATGGTCACACATCCCAATGGTTTGATGGCTTTGTTGATCTCTTTTTTGTTTTAATAAGAAATATTAATGATTAAAATAAGGGTTTTTTTTAACTTATGCACATTGACTATCTTGTATGTTTAATGAGGGCTGCTCCAAAAGTAATGCCTCCTTTTTATGATGTCAGCCCACCACATCAAAGCTGGATGCTGGTGGTGCAGCAGTAGAGGTGGAACCTCCCCACCAAGATCCATTGCATGTTGTTGCCGTGTGACAGATGGCAGCAGAGGGGCAGTCTGACACAATGGTGTCTGACATGGAAGTGCAGATGAAGCAAAGGTGTGGAATCGAATTCCTCCATGCAGAAAAAATGGCACCCAGTGGCATCCATCAATGCTTGGTGAACATTTCTGGAGACCAAAGAGTGGATGTGAGCACAGAGAGGGGTGGGCGGTGTGTTTCAGCACTGGTGACAGTGGTCACTTCTGCTGGTGCAGGTTTTGTCATGTGCAGCATGCGTCTCTTGTTCATTGCTGGTGAAAATGCACAGCTGGTGGTGGTGCCTATGTAGAAAAGCAGTGTTCTGTAGCTGAGAACGTGCTCTATTCAATAGTGTTACTGTGCTCTTTGCATCTGATGTAGTTTCCATGCAAATAAGCGGAAGGCATTATTTGCAGTGCAGCCTATGTATACAGCCTCTGACATTTCCTCTTCACTCAGTGTGGCCCAGGGAAGCCAGAAGGTTGGACAGCCGTGCTCTGCAGCATCACACAGGTGGGAGTGCTCAGATCTCAGTTGAAAGGGACACTGTGCTGCTGAGGGCACTGCAGCCCCCCATTTCTCACCACGTGGGACATGGCAGCCTTCGTTCTGGTTGGTGCTGTCCTGGGAGGCTGTGCCCCTTCTCTGGGCTCTGCTGTTCTCTCATTCTCTGGTGCGATGCCAGCCAGAGATGTCAGGCTGGCTAACCACTGTGATAAATGGTGCTGTGTGATTCACAAGTCCTTTGGATCTTCAGTACGTCATGGGAACCCAAACATACCACATGGTGGCTTTCTTGGAAGTGTAATGCAGCTATTGACAGTGATGACAATAAACAAGCACATGAGTATGGCAATGTACTATTTTTAGTGTGAAATTGGGTACTGGGCCAGAAAAAAATAACCTACATTTGTTTTACTGCAGTACAACACACTGACAAAGTCCTGCAATAACTGGGGAATTTGTATCTATTGCTGCACTGCATGTCCAAGGAAGTACTCAGGTTCTTCTATCTGATCTTGGGTACCAGAAGAAACTTCTCCAAAATAGTGTTTGGGCACTGGCATAGCTGCCCAGGGGGTGGTGGGGTCACCGTCCCTGGAGGTGTTCAGGAAATGTGGAGATGTGGCACTGAGGGACACGGACAGTGGGCACCACTGGTGGTAGGTGGGCAGTTGGACCTTAGGGTTCTTCTCCAACCTCAATGATTCTATGATCTGTCACGTTTAAATTGCAGCAGAGCTGGAGTGATAGAAATAAAGAAGGGACTGGGAAATGGTGTGGGTGCCAGGGGCAGGCGGTGTTGGGATTGTGATGCCCCAGGGGTTCTGGTGCATGCCTTCTGCTCATAAGGGACTCAGTTTTTTCAGGAATGTGTGAGTCCATACAGGAAAGTCTGTGGGAATCAACCTCCAAATTGATAGGCTGGGTACGGCTGTATAAAATTAGCTAGCACTGTTAAACATTAATCTGTGCTGTGACTTAGTTACTGAGTGATGAAATTGGCCAAAGGAGAGCTGTTCAGGTGATGGGGGTGTCTGGGACAGCAATTAAAATTTCAAATCCAGTCCCAGGAGAGCTACTGTGGGAGCATGACTTCCAGCTTCAGCACACAGCAAACACGAATAACGGTATAATGATGGCAAGATCAGAAACATGCTGCGCCGTATTTAGCAGGGAATGAGTGGAAGGTCCCCCTCCTGCCTTCCTGCCCCACACAGGGGCAGTGTTGCGGGGTGTGGGCAAGTACTGGGGCTGAGCCAAGTTCAGTGCCACTCCCAAGGATGTTGCTTGCATTTCACTATAGCCCCAACAATGACCGCATTAATGAATAACCCACACAGTGCGTCCAATGGGGCAGCCCAGCTCTTCCTCCTGCAGCTCCAGGCTCATGGCGTGTGGTTCTGTGCCCTGTGTGCAGTGGGGAGGGCAGTGCTGGGGAGCAGGGAGCAGGCTTTGCCCTTGCACTGTGTCCTGTGTGCTCAGAGAGGGAAGGGACACGTGGTCGAACCACATGTACAGGGATGCTGACGTGTAGCACTGGTTGGGGCATTTTCTGATGTTTGCATGCTTTGTCCTGCTATGTGATGTTCCTTTTACTGCTGCGGGTGTGTACGTGTCCCTAAGTGCCATAAAGCCATTAGGATGGGAGGGTCAGCAGCCTATCACTGGGCCGGAGGCAGGAGCTGTTTGTTCCCTCCCTACAGTGGGGCTTGGGAAACTCAATGGCTGCTCTCAAAGTGATGCAGAAGCATGCAGGGGTATGGCATGGCCCTTCCACTCTATGTGTTCTGCCCTTGGAGCTGGGGCTGCTGCTGCTGGGAGCGATGGGGCAGTGGGGAGCAGGAGCTGGAGCTACTCCTTGTTCTGCATGGGTGGAAATGGAGCAAGGAAGGTTAATGTTTAAGCCTGATGGTCAGGTTGCTCTCAGAATGAGTGATGCACTTCCTCTTGCTGTATCGAGAGTGAGAAATAGCAGTAGAAGGTTACGTCTGCATTCCAAGAAATTGGGGTTGTCATGATTTCTACAAAGCACTGAGCTTTCCTGGGTGGCATGAAGCTGCAGCAATCAGGGGAAGGGTGGAGAAGTGCTGTGGAGCTTTGTTGCTCACAGCTGCAGCTGTTCTAGTAATGCTTAAACAGCAGGAAATCCAGGACAGGAAAATGGGGGCATTTTGTGGGAGAAGGGGCTGCTGAAAGCATGAGGGGTTTCTCATTCTCTGCACATAGGGAATGGTGCAGCCCAGTGCTCAGCATCCCAGCCTGCACCCCACCCTACACCTGGTAAGAGGTGTTGCCACAAGGTTACCTGGAACAGATTTGATACCTATTATCTGAGCTGTTATCTGACCAGATAGTCATATTGACAGGAAGATTAGAATAGAAAGGCAGTCTATTGCACTAAGTAGGATTTTATTGAGTGCTGTGTGCTTCTGTAGCAGAAGGTATAACATTATTCCAGTTACCTGGGAGCTGCTAATTAATCTGCCTGCAAAACCGAAGGCAGCTGTAGTAGCTGGGCCACAAAGGTGTATTTCAGTGAAATTCTGTGAAACATTCCACAAGCGCGTGGATCACTCCATGCACGATGCAGTGGAAATGTCATCTGTAATACTGTGCTTGATTTTGTTCTAGGGACGGCCAACCTTACAAAGCGGCCAGCCCACGCCAGGGCTGGGAATAAGTGGAAATCAGCAGGGCTCCACCACAGCCTAACTATGAGAGGGAGGAACATCTCTTCTTTGAGGCAAGCCGTGGCTTTTCAGACGAAATCTGAACAAAAGTGGACTCCAGTGAGATATGTCCGCTTCAGAGCAACAAGATCCTCAGTGGGGAGCAGAGGGGCGTTGTGGGGAGGCAGCCAGGCTTTGGAGTCCGCAGGGCTGAGGGCTGAGTGCTGGGTTCAAGGACAGGTGAAGGCAAATTCCCCTTAAACGTGGCCATGAGCTGCAGGGGCAGACTGTGCTGGTTGGGGCTGGAGCCTGGCCGTGTCCCAGCCAGCAAACACTGCTCAGTGCAACAGCCAGCTTTTATTCTTTGGTTTATTTAGATTCACTTCAGAAAAAAAAATAAAAATAATAGTAATTACTTTCCAGAAGTTTGAAATTTCCTTCATAAACTCCATCCATATAAAAATACAAACGATAATAAAATCAAGACATTCAGTGGCCCATCCAATCTCATCCTGCAGCAGAAACTACTACTGATTAAAAACAAAAACAAAAAAAAAGGAGAACAACAAAAAAAAACCCCACCCACTCCACCATTCCAGAGAGCCAGAACCAAACCGAGGGAACTTGCCAGGACACAGAACAACTCTGCTCTGCCTGTGGCTCACAGACCTCTCTTCCAGCTCCTCAGCACACACCAGTATCAGGATGAGCAGAGGGCCTTTCCCTTCTCTTGAGCATTTTCATGCTTTTTATTTTTTTGTGCTTCACAGGACCCCAGGAGCTGAGGAAAGGATTAACCCACCCAGTGCCCCTGGTTAGAAGGGGTCTGCCCTCCTCAATCACCTTCTCCAGCTGTTCTGATCAGAGTGATCTCTGACTTGCTAATTTTGCAGCGTATGCTGGCCCTGGGTGAGGGGAGTAATGGGAGATCAGCTCTGTGGTCATAAACCCTTATAATCTAATGTAGAAATGCAGTTATCATCTTAATATGCATAAGAAGTGAGTGATTTTCCTGAGTAGATCAGCTGCCTGCCCTCCCACCTGTGGGTGAGGAGAGGAGCAGCACAGCTGGGTCATCTCCTCTCCCCATCTCCTAAGAGAGCAGTTTGCTTGTAGTGAGGAGCATCAGCAGCTGAGTGATGGCGATGAAGAAGAAGCTGCTCTGGATTGCGGAGACGGAGTCGGTGGTTGTCGAGGGTGTGGTTGGATCTGTTTGTGGAACTGAAAGAAACCCCCAGGGTAGATTAGAAGTGCAGAGGACCAGCTACAGACCTACTTGCTGTCATTTCTCAGAAATGTGTGTCAGACCTGCCGTACAGAGTGGGATGCATGAACATATCCACTGATGTGAATGGAGAATCATCAAGTTAGGCTTGAGGCTCCTGGGGGCAGGGGATCCCCTGGACTACAGAAACATTACCAGTGACGACAAGCCACAATTTCTACTTCACTTCTGTGTGACAGAGAGAAGAGGGGGATAAAGTCTGCGCCAATACTTGCAGAAATAGCCTTCTGCACTTAGAATCATAGAATCAGTAAGGTTGGAAAAGACCTGTAGGATCATCCAGTCCAACTGTCCACACACCAACACCTCTGTCCACTAAACCGCGTCCCTGCGTACTCCACCTGCCTTTTCCTTAAAGACCTCCAAGTTTGGTGACCTCACTGGCAGCCTGTTCCAGTGCCTGACTGCTCTTTTGGAAGGAAAATTCTTCCTAATATACAACCTGCAACTTGTCTGTGGCTGTTTAGTGTCCCTTAAAGTTGAAAATGTTAGGAAGTGTTCAAGTTCAGCAATAATCCTGAAGACCTTCTTGCCACTCTGGTGTCTTTGCCTTGTCTCCTGACTACTGGAGAAATGGGAAACCCAACACCACGGCACATTGCTCAGGGCACTGCTCACCCCACTGTGGGACCACCCCACTGCACCCTATTTATTTACCTTCCCGCAGAGTCACACTCTTGAACTCGGTGGAAGTGTTGTCAAAGATTATGTATACCCTATGGAAGGAGGAAAGAGAGGAAAAAGGGCATGAAGAACAGATTATGAGATGGGATGTGTATTGTGACCACCTGTTTCTTGTAACAGCAGTGTTCCTTGCAATCATTAGAGTAACGCGCTCTTGCATTCTTCCTTTTGGCAGATAAGACCGTTCAGGTTTCCTATGGTTTCCTTTGGCAAATATTTCCACTGATGCAGCTCCATTAGTGTTCATGGAAATAAGGGGTGTTCAATCCCTTAATTTCCATTGTACTAATTTACATCCCTATTGATGTGAGGAAACCAGCAGGCTGGCAGTGGAGAGACCTCCAGATCTGGCTTTGCCGGAAATATTTCCTCGGTATTCTCAAGTGAAAATCTGGAGCAGGCACAAGGGTTTGTCACAGCTGCTGCTCTGGGGGTGGGATCCTGACTGTGGGCATTACCAGGAGCTGGCACAGGAAAGTTCTATCCCAGCTGGATACTCAAAGGTGGTCATAGTGTTACCTTATTTCCACGGAAGATATGTTACTGCTTAGAGATGCCCAGTTTGCTGTTGCCAACAGATCTTCGGAGGCACTTAACATTGCTGTGTCAACATCACTGCAGTTTAGCACGTCTGTTACGTTCCATATTCCTGCAGTGGTATTTTCAGGGGACAAGGCTTGAAGTAAATACATGGTCACATTTCTGTCAGCAGTGTGGTTTCCTTCATCACTTATCGTAACTGCAAAGAGAGCAAGGGAGACAAGGTAAGTTGTCTGTCCTGTAGGACAGCTATCTCAGATCCTCTGCCTTCAGGGCTTTCAACCAAGGGAGTGTTTGCTGGCACAGGGCTCTCTATGTGACACAGAGGCACAGGGAGAATGGTGTCCCCCTGCTAAAGCAAGAAGAGCCCCTCACCTCCCCCCTCCTCCTAAAAGAGGGATCTCTTCAGTCCCCATCTGCACTCCCTGCTATGGAGGATGACGACACCAAACCAAACCAAACCACCTTTTCTGGCTCCCACACAAATGGCAGGGGTGGAAAATGCGCAGGGGATGAGCTGGTGAGCAGCCCACAGCTGACTGTGCCATCCCCACCCTGTCGCTTTCCCCACGTCTCCATCCCAGGTTGCTGATTCACGGCTGTGACAAGTCTGCGCAATGCTGCTGTGCACCACACTGCTACTGCGGGCAGCAGTGGGGCTGTAAGCACACGGAGCAAGGGAGACCTGCCTGCCAGCATTCAGCTGTGTACAGCTGTGTGTCCCACATGGCTGTAGCCCTCCTGGCCCTCAGAGTCCTTTGGGTGAGAGTGGCTTCAAGTGAAACCACTCAGGACTGCCAGAGATGGTGTGAGATGGCAGTGTCAGTCCCAAATCCTCCACTCAGAAAGAATCAGAGCTCAAAGTAACAGCTGTAAGCAAAACCCTCTCCTGTGAAAAATGCAGCCACCTGCAGTGGTGCTCCCTGGGGAGAGGCACGAGGGAAGCTGTGCCTGTCCATCCCAGCAGAAAAGGAAGGGCTCAGGGTGACCTTCTTTCCCTGCTCTCAGTGTTCGGATTTCTGAACCTCAAGGCAAAGGGATGCCTGTTGTCAGGTCTGGGAAGCAGGGCAAGGTTGCCATGTATGCTGGGACTGAATCTCTTACAGGATTAAAAGCCATTTTCTGTGATTGATGCTGAATGTGTGTCAACTGCAAAGCAACATCTTTTTTGTCTGTAGAGCCATTACTGCCAACAAGGGCAAAACTCAAGGAGGAAAGAGAACAAAACCACAAAGCAGTACCCCTCAAAATTCTGTGTTTTTGAGCCCTTTGGGGTTTTTGGCCAAAAGGTTAAGGTGGAAAAAACACCCAAGGAAGGAAAGAGAATTTGAGGCTGATTGTATAGACATGGAATAGGAATAAACAGGGGACAAGTAGGAGAGCTATCTCCTGCCTGAAGTAAAGAAAGCATCATTAGACCACACAGGTTCTGAGCACATCTAAGAACAGCTTAAGATTCAAGGATCCCACAGGGTTAGGGACAGCAGAGGGGGCACAGTGGGATGGAAGATGCTTACCCTGGTAGTTTGTGTTGGCCATGTACTCCTCGGGTGTCACGGTCACTGAGAAATTGCTCTCAACTGAGAGATCCTTGACAAACTCACATCCTTCCATCTGCAGGTACGCAGGGACAAGCAGAGTCCCGAAGAGGAGGAATTGCAGCAAGAAGTGAGCTGCCATCATCCTTTTGGATGTCCCTGCTTCATGCACCTGGGAGCTGAGAAAGCCTGACATTTCCCAGCCCATTTATATGGAGATCTTGATGAGGTAAATGCAAATATTTCCCCCTCCCCATCCAGCTCGTTGTACACACCCCTGGTGGGAGGTTTCTCGTGGTTTTAGAGATTACTTCCTCCTGGCTGCTTGGCCTCTAGGTGAACTGTTTAAAATAAAGGGGTGATGATCTGTGCGGCGGTAAAACCCACAGCAGGTGTATCATGGGGGAGTCCCAGGAATGTAAAGCAAGTCCCTGCTCGCCTGCTCCCCTGAGCCGCTTTTGTGTGCATTTGTGCAGGAGTCTCCATGACCTCTGCAGGAACCGCAGGCCGTGGAGACACGGAGCAGCACTGTGCTCCCACTGCCAGCCCCTGCCCTGCTTTCCTTAGCGACCAAACCAACCCATGTTGGCAGAGGTGTCTGCAGACAGCTGGCTCAGCGAAACCCCTCGGATAGTGTTCTGTGCAAAGCAGCCTGAGCTTTGCTCTTCTCTCCCTCTGTGCTCCCATGGGCTGTTGGCAGGGATGTCAGAGTCTGGCTTTTGCAAGCACTCCTTGAGCCATTGGGGAGGTGACGGCGTGGGCTGGCGGTGTCTTTCCACCCTGAAACCCAGGGTGCAGCACTCATCAGAGGTGTGGGGCTCATCAGTGCTGGTGGCAGGCCTGAGTCAGCAGGGAATGGTTTTCCTGCCTCCATCTGCCCCATGCTGGCAGCTCGCCGAGGCCCTCACTGCAGTTCTGCTGAACCCATCTGAATTCTGCCCAGCCTATTTTGGGCTGGGAAACCCCTCAGTGCATTCCTTTCCCCTTCTCATCTTCCCTTTTTCCAGCATCAAACCATCTCACACAGGCGGCTCCCTTTCGCCCCTCCTGTGATGTGTGTGGTTGTGTTCAACATTTCAAACAAAAGCTGAGCAGAAGTGAAAGAAAGTACCAGAAAGACAATAGGTGAGTTCAGGAAATGCAGGTGAGAAGGAAGCAGCAGGGAAGAGTGGGAGAAAAAGGGGATGCATTGGGAAAGGTGGTGTGTTCTTGGTGACATTGACATGGGTCAGAGGTAAACTTTACCCTAATGCAAAGGGTATGGAGAAAAGGAGAGATCGAGTTCTTTTGGCTCATCAAATTGGCTGAGGTCATGGCCACATTTCCTGGTCACTCCTCCCTTTCTCCTACGTGTCCCTGAGCAAAGGAGGAAGGAGGCCAGAGGGTCATGGTACCTCACAAACAGGGTCTGCCGCCCTGCAACAAACAGCTGGAGGAGCTCAAGAAAGGAAGGCAGCCAGCCATGAGGGGATGGAGAGGGGAAAAAGCAGAGCAAGGTGGAAGCAGAGGGTTTTGCTAGCACAGCCTCACTGCTGTCTGTTTGCCCTTGGGGGTTTCACACATGGTCTCCTTGCAATAGCTCTGCGCCATTCTCTGCCAGTGAGGATGAGTCAGACTGGTGTCACTGGAGGAAGGGGTGCTGGAAACAGATACATTTGCTTCCGAGAGAGCAACTCATTTTGGAGAAAGAAAGGCAGGATGTGACGGTGTCACATATATCACAAGGAAGGTGATAGCCATCACCAATCATCCAAAGCAAAAGAGATCTTTGTAAGCAGCAGTGGAAGTTGTGCGTTACACGATGTGTGCTGTGTGGGGATTTACAGTTTTGTTCCTCAACTGTGCAGATAGGTGAAAGCTGTATTTTCCATGGGAAGGGGAAAACTGATATCTGTCACGCTGAGGGGACATAGCCAGGAGGATAGCTGGGGGAAGCAAAAACATGGAGATTTTTAGCTCAGAAATGGCTTCATGATCTGATTCATCTGGGGATGAGCCCATGTCCCCTCTTGGCAGATGGACAGGAGGTATTCTCTTGCCCTTCTTTCTCCTTGCAGGCACATGTGCTGTGGCTCCTTCCCCACCCTATCTTCTGTGTATTTGTGGGCAAAACTGAAGCTGGAGCTGCAGTTTCCACGGGCTTCTTTCAAGGTCGAACCATGACCACTTACAAGAAGCCTTGTGCTGTTCTCTGCATTCCCACAGGAGGTGGCTTCTACCTCCCGGAACCGGCAGTGACAGGAGCTGGGCCCTCACTTTGCCTTTCTGGAGGTTCTCACAGGGTGCGTAAACAGCCAGACTGTGGGATCTGACCATCCCTGGGGATGCTCACGCAGACCTTTGACCTCCGCTTGGTGCACTGGGACAGGGTCTGCTCCCTACTCCCTTCCTCACATCAGCTCCACTCCTTTTTTTGTCTTCCCCAGGGATAGATGCACCTTCCCTGCCGTGGGCAAGGACTGGAACAGGCAGGCAGTGTCCTGAGGTGCGGGCTGTGCGGCAGGTGCAGAGCTTCAGCCCCGAGGTGCTGCTGGCCTGAGGGAGAGCAGGAGCTGGGAAAATGAAACTCACAGCAGCAGCCGGCATGTGAGGGAGCACCTTTAGCAAAACCCAGAGGTACAATAAACCACTGCACGCAACAACCTGCTCCCATGATTTACAGCAGGACCGGCACCAGCTGTCCCGTGTGCACTGTGGCTGAACAGGTGATGCCATTGGAGTTGAATGGGACAGAACCAGGGCCATGCGGAGTGCTGGGGCTCCTTCCCAGCCCCCCGGGTGCTGCAGAAAGGCGTTGTGAGGCTGCCGGCCCTGCTCCAGGCATGGGTGGTGCCTTTGCTTCCATCTACCCCTTATGGCTTTATTGGACTATTTATTTGCTCGAGGTGAACAGCAGGTAGTTGAGGTTTACTGGTCTGCTTTGCAAACAGTTTGTTTGATAACGGCGGGGTGTTTTATTGCTGCCAGGATGCTGAGCTGGTTTTGAGAGATCCCTTGTGCTGCGCATGGTGTGTGGCACATCCCACCTGGCCGTGCTCTGCAGCAGTGTCCTGGGATCACAGCAGCTCTCTGGGGGTCACAGCAGCTCTGGGCTGGGACTTCAGCACCAATGAGGAACACGTTTTACAGCTACCAGGAGGGAACTGCGAGGCCACTATTCTCCTATGCAATCCAGGATTGCTGCAGGGAAACATCCCATGGAAATGTCCTGTCCCTCTGCCCCAGCCTCTGGGATGGTATTTCCCCATAAAGACTTTTGGCCGGCTTGATAGCCCTGGAGGGGCTTTATCTGGGTATGAATAAAAAAAGAGGATTGTTCTCTGCATTTGCTTCTGAGAGATGAAGTCCTGAAGACCTCTTTGTTATCTGCATCAGAAAGGCTTGCAGGGCAGGGAGGAGGGAGTTTGCAAAAGAAAGGCTTTGTAAAAGGGCACTTCTCTAAAGGGAGAAGTTTAGCAAGGGAATTTTCCTGCCGGCCTCCACAACCTCTCAACACTTCCATATTCCAGCTTCTGGCTTTCTGTTCTCTCCTCTGGCAGGTTGCATTGGTGCAGCTCCCCACTAAGCCAGTCAGAGTCCTGTGACTGACCCTGCCCCTGCCCTCCATCCTCCATCACAAGTGGCAGAGGAAATTGCAGCCAGGGCATCTCTGCTGCCACCTGCAAGCCCCTGGCCCTGTGTGGTGTCTGCTTTTGGCACAGCTCCTACCTGGCTTTCCCAGTGCTGCCAGCTAACTGTCTCCTGCTCTGGCACATGAGGGGTTTCTGGGAGTTTCACCATCTCCCTCCTGCTAACTTTGCACAAGAAAGGGAAAGCCATCTGCCTGGGGCAGTGCAGGTGCTCAGTGCCATTGTGAGCAGACCTGGAGCGAGGGCAGAAACCAGCACTGCATCACCTTCCCATGGAAAGGAATGTGCCTGGGTGACACTGGAGCCCTGCTCATCACCAGAGAGCAGAGCAGGTGCTCAGCTGCACCCTGTTAGTGCTCCCCGTGCTTTATTTGCCTTGTGGGCAGTGTGTTTGTCCAGAGGCACTACCAGGCTGCACCCTTGTTTGCAGAAGGCCCACGGCCGCTGCAGTTCGCAGGGCTTCTGCGTTGTGCTGCCCAGCTCAGGGAGCCCAAGGGAGAAGCAGCTGATGGGTGAGGTGCCGTGCTGCCCAGGAGATGGCAGCAACTTTCCACAGCCCTAGCTGAGGACACGGGCACTGCTCTGTTATCCCTGCTGCAGCAGGGCTTGGGCCAGAGGGACCTGAGGATCCCTTCTACCTCTGCCAGTTTGTAGTTTTGCATCCCGACCAGGCACAGACAGCTCTGGAGGTGATTAGAGTCAGAGGAACATGGCAGAGAAAGGACATGGCTGCAGCCCAGTGGTGTGAGATGCCCACAGCTCCCATGTTGTTCGTCTCCACATTTCACGCTAGGGTGTGCCGTGTTCAGGGCAGCTCTGAAGGGTGCTGCGGTTGGGTCTATAAATCAGGCTGGGGCTGAGCTGACCTCTTTTGATCTTGCTGCGGTGGGAAGGGCTCTTTGAGTTGTTGTGGCAAAGGTATAGGGGAAATCTGGGCTGGGGGAGGAGGGAGGAAGCAAGAGGGATTTGTATGCGTGAGGAGAGCCAGGGACTGCAAGGTGAGCAGTTTGGTTGGCTCCAGGTCAGCTCCAGCTGCAGTGTGGGGTCTGGGTGAAGGTGTCTGCAACTTCATTCCAGAAAGGCAGCTTCCACCTCTCTGAGTCTGTTTGTTTATCCCTGCTGCCTCTTCACTGGAGATTCATCCTTCTGAATTTGCCAACAGGAAGGTGACCTCTGGTGCGATGAGGAAGGAGAGAGGATGTGTCCTATAGGAGTGGTTTAATCATCACTTTCTACTGGCATTTGGAGATTTCCTATTTAATCAGTAATGAAAGTGCCTGACAATTAATTCAGTAGGGCTCTCAGTGCCCTAAGCACTGCAGTGTTGGTTCTGCACAGACCTTCCTTACTTTCATTCCTTTTTGAGGAGTAATAAAGTTGCTGTGATTAATTGCAGAAGATACAGATTTCTTTCCAGGTTCCCCATGGCAAGTGAGACTCCTTGGTTTTAAACTTGGATGCGTGCACTTTGTGATAGGCAAACTGGCGGTGCCGAGTGGGGAGAAGGGAAAATAGGGGAGGGCAAATATTAAAAATCTTTGCTTGGGTTGGAGATTCAGCACTGCCTTGGCGTGGTGCCGGCTGCAGTCGCAGCAGAAGAACCTCTTGTATTTAGCCCCAGAGGAGTCCCTAATTAGCGGAGAAACTGCAGAGCTCTGAGCATGTTTGGGAATGCTTTAGTGCAGTGGCCCCCTGAGGTTCATTAAACAAATGAATTCAAAGCAGTCAAACAGCCAGGATCTTCAAAGTGACGAGGAGTTGGGTCCTGGGGAGAGCAGCACAGCCGTGAAAGCAAGCTGGCATTGCAACCAAACTGCCTTCCCAAATGGGTGAAATAAAGGCACCCAGATCCCCACAGGACACCAGGAACTCCTGAACTGCCAGGCTTACCATGCTGCTTGACATGAGAATGTACATCAAAAACCCATTTAGGAGCTGCCTATTCAGTCCTGCCTCCTCCTCCATCCCTCCTCCTGCAGCACGGGAACTGCCGTGTGCAGGCACCGCAGAGCAGTGGGATTGGGGCTGCCCCCTCCTCGTGCCTCAGAAGATCTGAAGTCTGTGCAAGCCTGGGTCTGGTAACACGTATGACAGTTATTAATGGAAGTGTCAGCAAACCCAAAGTCAAAGGAGATGAGGAATTGCTCACACTGACACACAAATGGGAAATAGAAAGGATGGGGACAGTGGGAGGCAGGCACAACAGATTGCCTGGGGCACAGCTGCGCTCGCAGGGAGACGTATCAGCAATTTGGGCACTGGGCAGAATTTGAGTCTCATCGAATCATGGAACGGCTCAGGTTGGAGGGGAGCTCAAAGCCCACCCAGTGCCATCCCTGGCCATGGGCAGGGCTGCCCCCCACCAGCTCAGGCTGCCCAGGGCCCCATCCCACCTGGCCTGGAGTGCCTGCTGGTGTCCCAGTGCCGGCTGCAAGGAAGAGAACCAGACCAGATACCTGCTCCCTGGGTTGCCTATCCCAATAATTTGAGCCCTGATTTAAAGAGGAAAGTGTGTATTCTTCACAGGCAAAAAACCCAGCAGGTTCTAATCCTTGCTTTTAGCCTCCCTCTCCCAATACAGGGTTTCCCAGCATCTCTAACTATGCGAAACACGTCTCTTCTTCAGATAAAAAAGGCAATTTTCCACTCGGGCAGCAGGAAGCAAAGTGCAGATTACAATACCTGATGGTGTTTTGGAGGAATGCTAGCATGTCCCTCTCCCCTTATGACAAGGACGAGCAATAGGATGTCTGAGCCATCAGCCACAATGTGGAGCGAGGGACTGCTGGCACCCGGAGCTCTGTGGGGAGCAGGGAAACCCAAGGACAAATCCATGGGCCTGGGAGGAAAGGCAGGGCCAGGGCATTGGCAGCTGAGCAACGGGACTGATGGCTCAAAGTATATTGAGATGCCCAAATGTACAAAGATATGAATGGCGTTCACTTCTTCAGGCCCCTCAGGACACACAGGAGCTGGCTTTAACCTTGTTAGCCCAATTCCTGGCAGTGTTAGTAAAGATGGATTTACCTTCCTGAAAGCCCATAGCCTGTCTCGGGGCTGAATGCGGTGCAAGATGGAGTATGAGTTGTGATGATGTGTCTTCTTTTATGGTTTGGCTGAAACATTTCAGCTGATGAAAGCAGAGTCATTTCTTGAAACTATAGTTTAACCATCGGCTGCAAATCAGGCTTCAACAATGGCGAGTCCAGCGGTGGGACCAACACGCAGCAGCACCTCTCAGCCCTCCTGCCTTCCCCAGGTCTTTTCTGCTTCCTCCCTGGGCACTGCAGAGCCTTTGTCAGCATTGATTGAGTAAATTGCTGGAGCTGAACGATGTGTGCTCCCTTTTCCAACCAGAGAGCACCTCTGCTCGCTGTTGATAAATTATATGTAAATTACCTTCCATTTCTTAGGTGCTAACATTAAAAACAGGTACAAAAATACTCTCCACCACGCTGTGAATATCAACGAGGTTCTTTGTTTTTACTGGCTTGAGACAATGATGTTTGATGAAGGCTCATTTGAGAGAGATGCTGTGTTCCAGAGATACCTTCAAAGTTACACAAATGCAGCAAGGGCAGCCTGAAGCACTCATTGTCCCTCTCTCATTATATCCTTGCAGTACGGATGTAAATTGGGCACTGGTGGTGGTGAGGAGCAGTTTTGTTGGCTATGGGTATGGTACAAAAGCTCTCATCAGTACAAATCCCAGTGCTCTGTGCTTGGGACTGTGCATTGGCAAATGCTGTCTGCATTCAATTATTGACTCCTCCATCTACCCCCTTCATTCCTTCCCTTTATCCATCAGCACAGACCAGTGTTGTAGCAGAAACACAGCATAGGTGAGAGAGGGCAAATCCCAGAGCCTCTGGGTGGGAGCAGTGCTGGGATCCCTCTCCCTGAGCTCTGTGCCATTGATCAGAGGTTATGCCAGGCTCTGCTGTTTGCAGAGAGCAACCTCTCAGCTGTGGCTGTGAAAGCATCAGACTGCCCTGTACTGCAGAGTCATTATGCAATGCTGTATGTTAACAGCCTAGTGCATGAGTGTGCAACCTTTTGGCTTGCCTGGGTGACACATGTGGTTGCACTGAAAGCAACGCCTCCCATTTATGTCTGTGGAAACTACATCAGATGCAAAGAGCACAGTAACACTATTGAATAGAGCACGTTCTCAGCTACAGAACACTGCTTTTCTACATAGGCACCATCACCAGCTGTGCATTTTCACCAGCAGTGAACAAGAGATGCATGCTGCACATGACAAAACCTGCACCAGCAGAAGTGACCACTGTCACCAGTGCTGAAACACACCGCCCACCCCTCTCTGTGCTCACATCCACTCTTTGGTCTCCAGAAATGTTCACCAAGCATTGATGGATGCCACTGGGTGCCATTTTTTCTGCATGGAGGAGTTCAGCGATACAGCTTTGCTTTATCTGCTTCATCTGCATTTGCACCTTTGCACTTCCATGTCAGACACCATTGTGTCCGACTGCCCCTCTGCTGCCATCTGTCACACGGCAACAACATGCAATGGATCTTGGTGGGAAGGTTCCACCTCTACTGCTGCACCACCAGCATCCGCCTCTGATGTGGTGGGCTGACATCATAAAAAGGAGGCATTACTTTTGGAGCAGCCCTCATTAAACATACAAGATAGTCAATGTGCATAAGTT